GTTTTAACAATCTTTGTAATGCGCGATAAGAAAATTACAAGAAATAATTGATAATGAGATTAGTAAAATTGATAACGAAGCTGATATTATTAATAAAGAATGCATGTACGCTAATAATGGAGATATACAAAACATATTGATAATGGCATTCAAACTATTACTAACGGGTGTATATATGTTATTAATGCCTACGTGTGAGTCATACTAGCGTCATTATCAATTGATAATGGCCTTCAAACCCAATGTGGGTATATACATCAGTAGGGTTACAGTTTTTAATTTAATTGTAATTCCCTTAATAACCCTAACAACTATTTAACTAATAACTCCCCACTAATTAACTAAAATTGAATCAGCCAATCACAACGGTTTAAGATTCTCCTTAAAAAAGAGGGTTTAAGAACATGAACTTACGAACATGGGCTTGGTCTAGTGGTAGTACCACTAGCCTAGAACCTGGAGGTCCCAGGTTCGAATCCCTTAAGTAGTACTTTAATAACAAAAAAGAAACCTATATCACCCTTATAAAAAAAAACATGAACTTAGGCCCATGGCTAGTATGGAATATAAGCCATAAACATCACCATCAGCATTAGGATGGGTAGCAAAGTAAGAATTTTCGTCGTAAAGCAACATTTCTTTCGACTGAGTAAAATCCTTCTACGTACATTATTGGACACACCATTTTGTCAGAGTGCGATTCAGCCCGTACACCGTCACGCAAACTCACCTCAGCATGCTCGATAGTTCCGTACTAAAAAACACCAACAAAGTGTCAGATATTTCACACAGTTAACAACAAATTAAGCAAACAAATCAAATAACTAACCAATGCCTCCGCTGCAGCTCCTCTCTGTGTGCCGCAACGTCTGGTGACATCTCTATACCACTCCATATGCTTTGAGTGGTAGGCTAACTCCTCAGCAGTGTATGGAGCCGTCGCTACAAATCGTGTCGACGGTTCTAGAAAGCAAGTGACTCTCTGGAGGCGTGTACCAACTGCTGCCCACGCGATGGCCCACGAGTAGCCTGACGAAGAAAAAACCTAACCTCGGCCTCAGGATGTGGCGGATGAGGTTCATGCTGCCTCATGCCAAACTGCCGGAGCACGCGGTCTGGATGATGCCACATCACTGATGAAAAGCAGATAAGTGGCACTACTGCTCGAAATGTCTCAGACTGTATCACACTACCTCTGAGATGAAGTGCTCTCTCAAGGTAAGGTTGCCACTACATAAAAAAAATTAACGTTATTATCCCTAAATCTAAAAAAATAAAACAAATGAAAACTATTCTATAAAATGGAATGTTATATACTAACCACCACGGTGTCCATCGCGTCAAACCACAGCTTGTACTGGAATAGCTGGTCACCATACTGACGAATGTTGGCCGAAAGCCATCGAAGACCACGTGGGGATGCATCCTCGGTGGCCTGTGCCCTCGTCTCTGAATGTCGAGGTGCCAGATGTGGAAATCGCTCCCACGCCCAAAACTGCAGTAGTGCGACCCATCCACCAAGGTCACCGCCTAGAGAAGTGCCGGTATGCGTAATGTGCAAAGTCGACCTACCCATCTCACGGTACAGGTAGGATAAAACAGCAGCTCCCCAGGCGAACCGTCCAGCTCTCTGCCAATCCTCAAATAGAAGTAGGTACTGTAGGTGCACCGTAGCTCCAGACCGATCCAGGAAAAGTACACCTCCCATCAGAGATAGAGCATAAGCTCGTGCAAACTGCTCTATAACCTCCTATGATGCATTTTCCGGCAGATGACTATATTCATCCCTCAGCCAAACAATTCTAACGACAGCGACACCGCCTGAAAGATCAGCCGGAACCCGTCCTAACAGTCTCAAACAGATCGCCGACCACTCCTCATCCGGTATATCAACTACGACGGCATCACCGTCGATCGCCTGACCGGACAGTGTAACAACGTCCTCTAACATGATCGTGATCTCACCAAACGGTAGATGGAAGGTCGACGTCTCGGGTCACCACCTCTCTACGAGCGCAGTAATCAAACTCGCATCGGGGTTCATAGGGACTAGGGGCACGACACTTAACAAGCCTGCCGCTTCGAGATATGGCCGATAAAGCTCATGGTACATCACTAAATTGGTCGTACCTCGAACATGGTAAGATCGATCACCAGCCTATAGTGCACAAAACTTATATTAATTCATTTTCATTCGTAATAATTCTAATTTCACCTAATAAATTCTAATCTATCTAATCTAATATCAAATTACACTAATTTCAAAAAATCTGATACGTAATCCTATTCTAATTTCAGTACAGTTCAGTTCACCAACTAAAATAATCTAATTAGCTAATTAACTTTACATGAATAATTATCAAATATTTACCTCGTTTGTCCAAACAAAGTCGATACGATGTTGGCCATGTCCCCAAAGAAGTGTCGGATCGACCGGACCTGGATCAATTGTCATCGGCGGTAATCTCATCGAATAAGGATCCATAAGCCTAGGAACTGCAAAAACAAAGCAACAAAACATATAAAAAAACACTAAACATTAAAAAAAAAAATCCAAGCCGCCGCCGGCGAGAGTCTCTCCGCGCAAACGGCCGCCGACTCCACCACGACCTCGCCGGCCTCTCCCCCTGCCGCTGTCGGCGACTGGTTCTTCGTCGTCGGAGGACATCTCTGTCGGGCGGTGGGCGCTTGAGACTTGGGCGCCAGCGCCCAGAACTGGGTAAAATATTTAGAAACCGCGGCCCCGCCTGAGTCTCTGGTGGTCCCGCCCCAAACTTTACTACAAAACACAATATTTGTGTCAATTCTTTTTAATCCGCAATATTTGTGGCAAATTAAAAAAAAACACAATATTAGTGTCATTAACCCAGCAACACTCCATCAAGAACTAAAAGGAGAGAAAAAAGAAGTGGGAGGGCAGTCCTAAGGAACTTACACTAGTTTATGCCCTTCAACTCCAGGATTGCTTCACCAAATAACATGTTTTCCCATATTCTTCTCATCAAACTTAACCATCTAGCAACAATCTTTTCTTAACATGATCAAGAACCATCACAAAAATCAGAGACAAATCACAAACAAGATTTTGTTCAGCTCCTTTGTGGAATTAGGAATCTTACCAATATGGATGGTGATGATGCCACTATTGCAGCCAATGTCGAGACAATCTTCCCCCTCAAACCACTCCCTCTTTAAGACCTTAACCCTCGGATCTTCATCCAACTCTTGACCAATCTGTTAATGAGCAGCAAAGGCAACACCTTTATAAGGATTCCATGAAACTATTGATAGTAAGAACAAAAATTATGCCTAACCAGCACTCACAGAGCTACTCTCTAACAGCCAATATGATTTCTTAGGCTAATCGTCAGTCAAACAGACATCACCAGAAAAAAGGGGAATGAAGGGAGACAATACACGGTATCCGTAGTAGTTTCTGTAGTTTCCAAATGGAACCACTTCTCTCTGCTTCCTCCTCTTCTTGTTGTTTTTAGCAGATGGGTTGCCTCCGGCAACCTGATTTTGCTGGTGTGGTTTCCCTTCGCCGTTGTGCTTCCGCTCTTGAATATCTTCCGTTTGTGATGCATCATTCTCCATCTTCCGTTTTTTTTCCGTGTCCCCTGCTCTTCTTCTCGCAGACAGTTTCCTCTCTCTTCTTCTTCCCCTCTGCTTCCGTCATTTTTGTTATTGGAACGTGTTCAGTAGAGAGCAAGGGAAAGGCGACGAAGTCCAAATCTCTTCGTCTTTTCGAAGTAGCGGCGCGACGACGACGGTGAGGAGGCGTAGAGACTGTGACGGTGAGGAGATGCGGCGGCGGCCGCTACGCCTACAGGCTACAGAGGAGACTGATTCGTTAGCTGTATTGACTCGCTATGACACAACACCTAACAATGGCCAAGTGTAACCAATGGAAGGGACTGCAGTATAGTGGCTCAAGTGATAAATATCGAATCCACGGGTCTCTAGAGTTACTATTACTCAGCTTCAGTTTATTATTTAGCAAACCATATTAAGATGAAAGAACTAAAACTACTCTAGCAAACTACAGTTAAAGTTAATCTAATTACAGGTTGGGAACTCACTTAGGTATGATTCCCCCTAGCCACTAGCCAGACTAACGATTGATGATTTCTAACTTGTTTCACTTTCATTCACAATGCGGAGAATCCTTGACTAGACCTTGAGTCTCGACTAAAGGAACAAGGCCCTCTTGAGTCAATTGCCTAGAGGGACGTATCCTTCTCTAGAACAACTGATCAGGGCGTTCTGAACTAGACTCCCTCTATCGAAAGAGGTTCTCAATCGATACAAAGCAGTGAATCAACCCTCGACTAAAGCAATCAATCCACTACTATCAATCTATGGTGCTCTATTGACCTAATCAGGTATTCCCTCTCATAGGATCAAAGCAGAATCAATAATCTTGACTAAAGCAGAATTGAATCATGAAAACATGCATAGATTGAATATGAACTCAAGATTATCAAGTCAGAGTAATCATACAATCATCCAATCAAACAAACATAGCTAGGGTTCCTCAAAACCTAAGTGAAGGGAAGTTACTCCATAGAGAAGAGAGAGACTGCTGTAAGAATCTTCAGATGATCAGTCTTCAAGTCCGGGCTTGTTCCTCGAGCTTCCAAGGCAAAGAAATCCTCCAATTCCACTCCAAGAATGCCCTCAACTCGCCCTCTCTCTCTTTGGTTCGTCCCTAGGGTGTTTGGGATCCAAAACCCAGTTCTCCCTCTGCAAAAACGCACAAAACAGGCTTTTAACAGCCTGTGTTCGCGATCCCCGGTCAAAATACCCGGTAGGGTATTTTAGGTCACGACAGGGGATTTTTTGGTTCACGATAGGGGATTTTTGGGTCACGACCGGGGATTTTTGGTTCACGATAGGGGATTTTTGGGAAAATCCCCTATCAAGGCCAAATATCCCCTACCGGGGATTTTAGCTTCACGATAGGGCCCCCTTCTGTTTCTCAGAGAAGCCCGAAACCAATTTTCCCCTATCTTTGATTCTTCGTTTCTCCCTCGTTCGGACTCCAAATAAGGTGCCGTTTGATCCCAGACGCTCGTATTCTCGTCCTCTTTCTTCTCATGACAAGATTACATGATTATATGGTCACAAACTGGGGTAGAAATCCCTTCTTCTTCAAGTCATACCCGAGTTTCTTCCCCCGAGTTCACCAATTGATCTCCGATTGACTTGAAACTTGCGCCTACGCTTCACTTTATGTGCTAGGACCTGAAATGTGACAAAGGAACACAACCTAGCGTAAAATAGGCCAAAGAAGCAATAATGCAAGCTTAAACGATCAAGAAACAAAAGGAAAAACATGTGCAAATATCGAGTCATCAAATCCCCCCACACTTAACCGTTTGCTTGTCCCCAAGCAAACCTAACTCAAACCAATGCAGCTCTCCAGACCTCTATAGCAACATGCACCCTCGATCCTTGATAGAGGATTTTCTAGATCATTTAGCAGCTTACGAGGTCAACCGACGCACAAGTCATCTCATAGCTTCTTCGGCGAGAACGCTAGTCTCGAGTCGGCATCATGGCAAATAGTGATCAGACGACAAATGAATCGTGGACGAAGAGACTCTCAAAAACTAAAGATCATGGACTCACATTTTTCAAGGTGCTCTTATTTTCTTTTTGAAGATGGTTGGAACCCCTTTTTTCCTTTTCTTTTGTTCTCTTTTTTTTCTTTCTTTTTTCAAGGGTTCCAACCCGATTTTCAGAAAACGGGGCTCCCACCTAGCAAAGGTTTTGCGGAAACCTGGCTCTTACCGGCCATGCCAGGAGCGAATGCCTCGAGCCTCGTGCGGGGAAAAGGAATGTAAGAGGGCTGGAGGTAGTAGGTGGAAATTGGGAACGAATTCCCGTCTCCCCTTACACACTTTCGCCCTATTCGCACGGGAGACGTTATTTTCAAGCACATTATCGAGCACCTTTTATTTCAAAACATGATACAAGATTCCATGACAGGTAGAGAGTCCACAACACCACACAATTCAAGGGTCCTAAGATCACTAATTCACTCAATCAACCAACACAATATGAAGAAGAAATGAGACTTCTTAAATGCATCAACATCCTCCATAGTGCTACACTACCTCCCTAGGTTGCATATTACTATAAAGACTGTCAATTCAAAGCATACTGAGCAGGCAATTGCAATGAACATGTACTTGGAGCCCTCAAATCGAAATTTGGACAGTGGACTAGGCTCCAAGCACACAAACAGTCAAACATTCACACGGATACATAATCGAACATCCCCCCACACTTAAGCACGACATTGTCCTCAATGGAGGAAAGATAAGGAGGGTAGAACAAAGTTACCAGATCCAGGGTGAATGATGGTGGACGGGGCAGGCGGCGTATTCCAGGAGGAGAGAATGGTCAGACCACAAACACCACACAAAATCTCACAAAGGTTGAATTATTGACTCTAAAATCAAATAACAAAACTGACTCAACCGAGGAGAAAAAGAGAAAGAAATGCAAACCGACTGGTTGGGTTGCCTCCCAACAAGCGCTTCTTTCACGTCATGAGCCGGACGATGGCTCCTAAGTTTCGGTCCACCCCAAAACCTCTTTGAAGTTGAGGTTCTCGTCTATGAGGTGGAGTCTCAAGTCACGAGCATGTGGTATGACAGGTGATGGAAGCTCGTGCACTTGATGCAGATAACGTCTCCACCCTCGAGACCTCTTCTTCTCTTCTCTCGTCTCATTGCCCCAAACCAGATATGACAGCATCGATTGACCACCATCGCATCCACCAAGAGGGACCGATGTTGATGTGGCCTTGGTCTGGCAAAGAGACACTGCAAATGGGTCCTTGCTAAGCAGTTCCTCGAAGTTTGGTGGAGATATCAAATGTAACTCATGGCCGGTGCAAGCCTCTTCCACCTCAACTTCGTCCTCAGTCTGGACGCCAATTGCTTCTTCAACCTCCCTTCCTTCTTCATGTGGTATCACCCCTGGGAAATGATCAAGAACTCCTCCAACTTCACTTTCGTCATCCTCCACAACTTCTTTCTGCACCCTTTCTTGCTCTTCTTCTTCTAGCACGGATTGGAGAGCAAGTTGCCAAGCAATTTCTTTCATGAGATCTTCTCGCATCTCCTCACTCATGCCCGCCTCTTCAAAGCTCAGTTTGGGGTGTGGGAAGGTGTGGTTGGCTATGACAGGACATTCCTGATCATGATCATCACGGGAGCTCTCCATGACATCTTTAGTGTGCTCCACAATGTCCTTGTAGCCTTCTTCTTCCTCCTCCTCTTCTAGTATGGTAGTAGAAGGGTGATCTGGATCAGGTTGTGCCCAAGATCTCTCAAGATCATCGATGCTCTTCTTAAGGCTCAGGAGGATCTCCTCTGTTTCACGATAGGCCTGGACACAATGATCCATCCTGGAGCATGTTCTATCACAGTCTCGAGCAAACTGCTCCATGAGAAGTCTCAATTCATAGTGTGGATCTGGCTGTGGAGTGTAGCATGGCTCTGCAGAATGGCCCGTGAAGGCCGCCATGGGTAACTCCAGCTCCAATGGCCCCTCTGGTTGTGGGAAAAATTCTTCTTGGTAATTAGGTTGTTCTTGATAAGGCCAGGGGTCCGGTTGTTCTCCGTAGTAAGGGGGTTGGTACTGGAACCCGAATCCATATTCTTCTCCTCCTTGATTGCTCCAGGGAGTCTCGGGGTAATACCACTCGGGTGGTGGTGGATACCCCCAATTGTTGGAGAAGCCATGAGGATCCATGATTCAGATCTGCACCAACAAAAACAAAAACACCCAAGTGAAAAGCAAGGGTGGAAAAGAAAAGAAAAACGCTAAAGTAACAAACTTCTGCCTTTCCTAATACTCTACAAAGTCCCCGGCAACGGCGCCAAAAACTTGACTCGCTATGACACAACACCTAACAATGGCCAAGTGTAACCAATGGAAGGGACTGCAGTATAGTGGCTCAAGTGATAAATATCGAATCCACGGGTCTCTAGAGTTACTATTACTCAGCTTCAGTTTATTATTTAGCAAACCATATTAAGATGAAAGAACTAAAACTACTCTAGCAAACTACAGTTAAAGTTAATCTAATTACAGGTTGGGAACTCACTTAGGTATGATTCCCCCTAGCCACTAGCCAGACTAACGATTGATGATTTCTAACTTGTTTCACTTTCATTCACAATGCGGAGAATCCTTGACTAGACCTTGAGTCTCGACTAAAGGAACAAGGCCCTCTTGAGTCAATTGCCTAGAGGGACGTATCCTTCTCTAGAACAACTGATCAAGGCATTCTGAACTAGACTCCCTCTATCGAAAGAGGTTCTCAATCGATACAAAGCAGTGAATCAACCCTCGACTAAAGCAATCGATCCACTACTATCAATCTATGGTGCTCTATTGACCTAATCAGGTATTCTCTCTCATAGGATCAAAGCAGAATCAATAATCTTGACTAAAGCAGAATTGAATCATGAAAACATGCATAGATTGAATATGAACTCAAGATTATCAAGTCAGAGTAATCATACAATCATCCAATCAAACAAACATAGCTAGGGTTCCTCAAAACCTAAGTGAAGGGAAGTTACTCCATAGAGAAGAGAGAGACTGCAGTAAGAATCTTCAGATGATCAGTCTTCAAGTCCGGGCTTGTTCCTCGAGCTTCCAAGGCAAAGAAATCCTCCAATTCCACTCCAAGAATGCCCTCAAATCGCCCTCTCTCTCTTTGGTTCGTCCCTAGGGTGTTTGGGATCCAAAACCCAGCTCTCCCTCTGCAAAAACGCACAAAACAGGCTTTTAACAGCCTGCGTTCGCGATCCCCGGTCAAAATACCCGGTAGGGTATTTTAGGTCACGACAGGGGATTTTTTGGTTCACGATAGGGGATTTTTGGGTCACGACCGGGGATTTTAGTTCACGACCGGGGATTTTTGGTTCACGATAGGGGATTTTTGGGAAAATCCCCTATCAAGGCCAAATATCCCCTACCGGGGATTTTAGCTTCACGATAGGGCCCCCTTCTGTTTCTCAGAGAAGCCTGAAACCAATTTTCCCCTATCTTTGATTCTTCGTTTCTCCCTCGTTCGGACTCCAAATCAGGTGCCGTTTGATCCCAGACGCTCGTATTCTCGTCCTCTTTCTTCTCATGACAAGATTACATGATTATATGGTCACAAAATGGGGTAGAAATCCCTTCTTCTTCAAGTCATACCCGAGTTTCTTCCCCCGAGTCGCCAATTGATCTCCGATTGACTTGAAACTTGCGCCTACGCTTCACTTTATGTGCTAGGACCTGAAATGTGACAAAGGAACACAACCTAGCGTAAAATAGGCCAAAGAAGCAATAATGCAAACTTAAACGATCAAGAAACAAAAGGGAAAACATGTGCAAATATCGAGTCATCATGTATTTACGACCAAAACAAACCAAGTTATCTCGACGGTCGGTTTGTGATTGGACCAATCCGGTTGGTGCTCAATACGAAAAAGTTAATATGCTAACTTAAAATTCGTCAGCAGATAATAACTGATATCCAAAATGCATGAACTAGTATTTAAGTTTGTTGCTTTTATGAACTAGTACTAAAGTATCTAGAGAGTACAAACTAGTATTTAAGGTTTGCTAACTGATATCCACCATGAATCAACTATTATCCCAAATTCACAAACTAATATCTAGACAACACAGAATAGTATCCAGATAACACATAAGAGTATCCATATGGAATACTAGTTGGTTTGATTGTGGATGTTAGTTGGTAATTGATTGGTTGAATACTAATTGTGTGAGTTGGATACTAGTTTTGTGATGTTTTGAATACCAATCTGTGCTATCTAGACATTTTAGTACTATTTTATAAAATTAGCAGACATGAATACTAGTTCATACATTTTGGATATTAGTCAGTATATACTAACAGCTTAGGCAGTTAGCAGAATAACTCTATTGGCCCCAATAGGATTTCTCCAAACCATATAATTAGAAATTTCTTTGGCGAAGATCAGAAAATATGTTCCAAAGTGCTACTATCTCGTATCCTATTTAGTAAGAATAAGGATTAACGAATCTATTCTACACTCCACAAAGCAAAGAAAAATAGTTATGATAAGATTTTAACTACGAGCAGAGTTTCACTCAGCTAGATTGTCTTCACTGTAAGAGGGAGCAGCATAAGAGTTTGAGTTCCTGAAGTCTAGTCCTAAAACTGTCACTTAAAATAACAGCGAAAAGAACACGACAACATCTGTATGATTCCACAGTCTTTACACACGATGGAAAGCTGTCACTTACTTTGTTGTTCATTACCTTAATTTACAAATTCGATGAAAAGTTAAAAAATGATATTTTCAAAAAATTTAAAACCCAAAAACGTGGAGATTCTTGTTCAGAAACTGTTGTGTTCCAACAATTTAGCTATTGGCTCTTCTATCTCCGTGAGCATGTTCCAAATTGGTGTTCTACAATTCAATATGTTATTGAAGACTTATCGTAAAATTGCCACTTACAACAACGGGAAAAAACACGACAACAACTATATGCGTCCACAACCTTAGATAGAAAACCGCCTCTTACTTTGTTGTTCATCAACTTTACTTGCACAAATAATAGGTGAGCTGCCAGAGCAAGAGCTTAAGATTTTTGAGGGATCATTTTCGAGCTTTGTGTTAAGGCAAAAATGGCCGTTGTTGGTAGCTCCTGCTAATGGTTATAAGACAAAGATAAGGGAGATTCAGCTTTAATACTCTAAGAAGTGAGAATAGCTACCACATCGCTGAAACAGTAGTTATAAGAGCTTTTTAAATATGCATGTGAAGCACATGTCGCCGCCGAGCTTACTAACAAGGGCTTGTCATCTATGTGGAGGCACTAAAATGGTGGGACATTGAGCCGTTCTCGAAATGCTGGGCTTTGTTATGTAAGTATCTAGCCTGCCCGCTCCAAGCCCGGAGTTGGGCCGAGAAGGCTTGGTGAAGACTTGAGCCGACCTGTTCCTAGAGTTGGGAGATAATACGTCGGGATGATTTCACAGAGCATCGTGGCTCCCCTCTCCAGGCAGTGAAGTGATAACAGGCCGGTGACACTCGGGCTCGAATAGCCTATCGGGCTCTCCAATCTGGACCACCATTATATGACCGGCCCAGTTCTCTAAATTACACACTATATATATAACTTAAAAAGAATTTTTCAGTGCCATCATTAGAATTTAATACATTTTCATATTTTTGAAAAAGGTTAATTAACTAGAATTTCATTTGTAATGTATGATATAAAAATTTTATAATATCATCGTTTATTCGACTTAAAATCATGAGAATTTTTTTAGTCAAGATAAAAGGCGGAAAAAATAGAATTTCGTTGTATGAGTATTAATTTTAGACGGATTAGTCTCTTGTGAATTTTCTAATAAGAAATATTAGTCTTTATTATATATCGATAAAAATATTAACATTTTTTTTCTCTCAAACAACTAATTCAGGGTGCAACAGAGTATTTCTACTCTAAATGGGTTTCATTTCCAATTATATCTATATTTTCTTGTTGAAAGTCCAAATCAAGGTGTCATGGAACCACTTCTTCCATGCTAGCTCTGTTGTCCGCATTATGACTCATTTACTTGTTGGGTTTGAAAATGAAGGTTTTTAGTTTTGAAAACTTTTGAATTTATGATGGATTTGTTTCATTTTGTATTTGAAAGATAATATTGTATGTTTAGTTGACTTTGATAATGAATTTAAAGATTTTTGTACCTTAAGTGTCGTTTGGATGTGGAAGTTTGAAAACGTGGGCATTTGTCTGAATTTCCATGTTTTACAAAACCAAGGAATTGACTTGTGGAAATTGAACAAAATTCCACGTTTGGATAGGGTTTAGTTTCGTGGGAATTGATGGTGTGGAATTAGGTAAAATACAAAAATGCCCTCCTTTGTTTATATACATATACCCCTCCTAAAGATTGTTGCTGTATTATACTAACTACTAATTGTTGCTAACTTAAGCATAGTTAGAAAAATATGATATGGAAAAGTTACGTATAAATTACGTACGATTATTTTACTTCATCTCTAAACTAATATTACATTTAATAGTACATTAAAAGCCATAAATATATAAACTTAATTATTTTAATAATAAGTACATATATAAATTACAATAAAGTTAACAATTTAATTCATTAAATACGGATATTAAAAGTGTTTAGGCGAATTCGATGAGGAGAAGTAGGAAAATCACCGGTGAATGAGATAATTAAGCGAATCCAAAATTAAGAAATTGACGACGGATTATAGGAGATATACGAAGGTGAGGGAAGAAGAAGAAGAAGAAGAAGAAGAAGAAGAAGAAGAAGAAGAAGAAGAAGAAGAGGTACCATTGATGAATGAAAAAGAAGGGGCTACTCTTTTAAGAAATAGTTAGGCGAAAACGAAGAAGGGGTAAGAAAGAAAGGAGGTCCCAGGTTCGAATCCCTTAAGTAGTACCTTAATTACAAAATGAAACCTATATCACCCTTATAAAAAAAAAGGAGAGGAAGGACATAGGGACACATTTGGAAATAGAAGGAAGAAAACGTGGTAATGTCAAATTACTAGGGGGAGATGTAGTATTCTCAATTACAATGAATGTGGTAATTGAAGCCAATTTCCACAATCCAATTCCCATACCCTTTTTGCGCTGCCAAACGTGGGTTTTTAATCCAATTACTGCATTATGTGGTAATTGGGTCCAATTACTGCATTAAATTTCCACATCCAAACGACCCCTTGAATGAAATGTGGTATTTACAAATACGTGGGGTCCATGGGTTTGGAGTTAAAAAGATCCAAATTCATGACCCCACGGATTTGTATACCTCAACAAACAATATTTTTTTATCAAATACATAATGCTTTGTATTTGGGTGACAAATACATCACCCAAATCCCACAAACAAACAACACATTAATGAAGTTCATAAAGGAAACATGTTTTTACATCACAAACTCTTGGTTCTTCGTACGAGAAATTTTACAATGCTATATAGTATTGGTGCTATAGGCTTTTGTCTTTATGGTACCACTTAAAATTGTACATTTACGTTATGGTACAACTTCATATTGTACCTATACTTTTTGTACAAATTCTTTTATAGTACAACTTGAACTTGTACCTTTATGTGATAGTACAACTTCAAGTTGTAAAGTTGTACCATAACATAATGATACAAATTGCTTTATGATACAACCTAAACTTATACATTTAATGTTATGGTACAACTTTTAATTGTACATTAAAACACCAATACTATATAGCATAGTAGAAGTGCTCTCTTCGTTCATGCACAGATAAAGTTTGCTCTACTTCAATATGTTTTGGATAAAACATCGTGCGTCTAACTTCTACACAGTTTACACTAAAATTCCTGTCTAGCTCAATCAGTGATTTCAGGGAGGCTACGGCCCATCAACTCTTAAAAACATGGAAATTTTGTAATAAATTTAGAACATACAATCATTGGTAAGCCTTTACCCTTCCTTGCTAGTTCAAATTCTCGGGGTGTACATTTTTAACTTCTCTCATTAAGTTTTCTCGCTCTGCCACTAAGCTTTATTGTTTGAATGGAGAGACCTGGTTTGAAAGCATGAAAGGGTTTCCAAGCATAAGCTTCTTGTTCTACTTATATGAAAAGGTAGAAAAGTAAATACACATTTGCATTATGTTTCATGCTAGCTAAAGGCTTGTTTAAAATACATCATCATGTAGGAGAGTGTTTTTATGAATTATGGTATAGGCACATCATTTGTCTATCATACTCCTGTTTTGATTTCTTATATTTCCTTTGGCTAACAATTGAATTTAAATTAAACAGTACTGTTTTCATGCAATGTTTGTGAATCTGATGATAACCAACCATCCGATATTTTTTTTTTGTTTTTTTACCAGAAGCTAAACCACTAAGAGGATTTTAACGGTGTAAAACAGTTAATTTTAAACTGATTAGTCTCTAGTAAATTTTCTAATAAGAAATATTAGTCTTTATTATATATCGATAAAAATATTAACATTTTTTTCTCTCAAACAACTAATTCACTAATTCAGGGTGCAACAAAGTCCTTATTTCTATTCTAAATGGGTTTCATTTCCAATTATATCTATATTTTCTTGTTGAAAGTCCAAATCAAGGTGTCATGGAACCACTTCTTCCATGCTAGCTCTGCCTGTTCGCGTTATGACTCATCTCCTTGTTGTGTTTGAAAAGGAAGGTTTTTAGTTTTGAAAACCTTTGAATTTATGATGGATTTGTTTCATTTTGTATTTGAAAGATAATATTGTATGTTTAGTTGACTTTGATCATGAATTTAAAGATTTTTGTACCTTGGGTCTCAAATCCTTGCCTTCCATGACCAAATACCAAAATTTTATTTTGGTATTTGCAAATACGTGGGGTCCATTGGTTTGGAGCTAAAAAAAGTCCAAATTCATAACACCACGGATTTGTATACCTCAACAAACAATATTATTTTTATCAAATACATAATACTTTGTGTTTGGGTGACAAATACATCACCCAAATCCCACAAGCAAACAACACATTAATGAAGTTCATAAAGGAAACATGTTTTTACATCACAAACTCTTGGTTCTTCGTACATGCACATATAAAATTTGCTCCACTTCAATATGTTTTGGATAAAACATCGTGCGTCTAACTTCTACACAATTTACACTAAAATTCCTGTCTAGCTCAATTAGTGATTTCAGGGAGGCTACAACCCATCAACTTTTAAAAACATGTAAAGTTTGTAATAAATTTAGAACATACAATCATTGATAAGCCTTTAACCTTCCTTACTAGTTCAAATTCTCTGGGCGTACATTTTTAACTTCTCTCATTAAGTTTTCTCGCTCTGCCACTGAGCTTCATTGTTTGAATGGAGAGACCTGGTTTGAAAGCATGAAAGGGTTTCCAAGCATAAGCTTCTTGTTCTACTTATATGAATAGGTAGAAAAGAAAATACCCATTTGCATTATGTTTCATGCTAGCTAAAGACTTGTTTAAACTGCACCATCATGTAGGAGAGTGTTTTATGAATCATGGTCTAGGCACATCATTTGTCTATCATACTCCTGTTTTGATTTCTTATATTTCCTTTGGCTGACAATTGAATTTAAATTAAACGTACTATTTTCAGGCAATGTTTGTGAATCCGATGATAACCAACAGTCCGATAATTTTTTTTTACCGAAAGTTAAAATACTAGGATGATTTTAACGGTGTAAAACAGTTGAATCATGATTTTGACACAAAGTATACTAATTTTTCCTTTTAAATCTCCTATACGATTTTATAATCCTTGGCTTTCAGCCCTCGTGTACATATAATTTGATGGGTAAATTGCAAGGTTGGTCACTGGGATTATAAAAAACGTTCATGTTTGGTCATTACAAATATTTAATTTCATTCGTGGTCACTAAGATTAGTTCAATAGTTCAAGTTTGGTGACTCTCCGTTAACTTTTGCTGATGTGGCAGTCAACCTTCATAGTTGACCGTTAAATGACTGACGTGACTATTAAAAAATAATAAAAAATTAAATTTAATCTATAATAATTTCCACCTCATTACACATTCATTAAAAAATAAATTAAAAACCTAATTTATACTAATTGGCCCCCTTTCCCTTCTTATCGCCCCTGGGATCTCCCCTGTCAAACCATTCTGCCCCAAATCTAGAACGTTTAGCCGGGACAAACGAGAGATGTCACCTGGGATTTCACCGGTCAAGCGATTCGAACGAAGCTCGAGCACCTGGAGACTTGTACAGTTGCCAAGCTTCTCCTGGATCCGCCCAAGATGCTGTTGTTCGACAATGAGAGAACAGATAAGCTTCTGAGAAATCCGTAAGTCTCCGGAATCTCGCCGGAGAAGGAATTGGAGGTGAGATTGAGATGCTGAAGAGCAACTAAGCTGCTGAAACCCTCTGGAACATTTCCAGACAATTTGTTCTCCTCCAGTGAAACAACTTCCAAGCTCGGCAATCCAAACAGCTCGATCGGCAATTCGCCGGAGAAGTTCTGCTTGCTTAAATCAAGAGTTGTTAGCCTTAACAATCCACCAACGGCAGCCGGAATCCTGCCTGAAAATCCGCATGCACTTAAGTTCAAAACCTCATCCCTTTAACTCCCCTATTTTGGAAGGAACCTCCCCACCGAATGTGTTGCCGCCGAGATTCAATGCGCTCAAATTCCCCATACTCAGTATCTCCACCGGGAAATTACCAGTCAGAGCATTGTCACTCAAGTTGAGCATTTGGAGCTCAACCAAGTTGCTTAACCCTGCCGGAACGGAGACAGAGAACTGATTCCCTTCCATTGACAGTGTTTTTAAGCCAAGTAAACCGGTGAGGAAGGAAGGGATCTCACCGGAGAATCGATTCTCACCAACGTCGAGGACTTGTAGAGAGGTACATTTGGCGATGTCACTTGGAAGACTGCCGTTGAATGAATTGCCAGCAACTCTGAGCTCGCGTAACGGGAGAAGGTTTCCGATCCCGGCCGGCAGAACGCCGGCGAAGAAGTTTCTAGAAAGGTGAACGACCTGGAGAGTGGTGATGTTGGTCAACCACGAAGGGAACACGCCGTCTATGCGATTCTCGTGAACGTCAATAACTTGGAGAACAAAACCGCCACATCCCCCTCCTCCACCTCCTCCGTCGCCGATATCAGGCGGCTGAGCTATCCCCGTGAGCGCATTAAACCCTAAATCCACAAAACGAAGCCCTCCCGCCGAAAAATTGCCGCCGACGCCTACTCCAACATTGCAGAAAATAGACGACGGAATCGAACGGGAGAGCTCGTTCCGCGACAGGGAGAGCAATTGCAGCCGCGGAATCGAGCCGATCGTCGCTGGAATCAATCCTCTCAACTTGTTATCCTCCGCGCTCAGCTGCTTGAGCGACGAGCAGTTCGCAAGCGCCGACGGGAGAGTGCCGTACAATCGATTCGAATCGAGCCACAAGTACTCCAGCCCCTGCAGCTTCCAAAAACTCGCCGGCACCTCACCGGAGAACTCATTAAACGACAGATTCACAAGCTGCAGCTTCGAATCGGCCGAAAAAGGAATACGGAATTTCGCCTGAGAACGCATTGGAGGACAAATCAAGAAACCGCATCGAAACCGGGAACCCCCCTCCTACTCTCCCGGAGAGGAGATTTTGAGAGACGGTGAAGATTTGGAGATTGGTGAGGTTGGTGAGGAGGGAGGCCGGGAAGTCGCCGGAGAGAGAGTTGTACTGGAGGTAAACGGCGCGAAGGACCGAGCAGCGAGAGAGGGAGGAAGGGATGGAGCCGTTGGAGTGGAGGCTGAGGCGGCGGAGCTGGGTGAGGTCGGCGAGCTGCGGAGCGAGCCAGCCGGCGAGCTGCAGGCGGGGAAGGCGGAGGTCGGTGACTCGGAAGGAAGAGCAAGTGAAGAAGGGAAAGGGGGCCAATTAGTATAAATTAGGTTTTAATTTAATTTTTTAATGAATGTGTAATGAGGTGGAAATTATTATAGATTTAATTTAATTTTTTTATTTTTTAATAGCCACGTCAGTCATTTAACGGTCAACTATGAAGGTTGACTGCCACATCAGCAAAAGTTAACAGAGACTAATGGAGAGTGACCAAACTTGAACTATTGAACTAATCTTAGTGACCACGAATAAAATTAAATATTTGTAGTGACCAAACATGAACGTTTTTTATAATCTCAGTGACCAACCTTGCAATTTACCCATAATTTGATTGGAGAAAGCTTTTGAGTTCATTCGCTCCATAGTTTTGCCGACTATTAATAACACATTAAGTGGGGCTATCCCGTTTCCCTTGTTATTACCCCCATCATGGAAATCGGAGTACTTGAAATGAATCAAAAGGTCATCTCTATCACCACTGAACTTGCTTTCTCGCTATTCTTCAAAAATTGTAAAATCATATAAAAGATTGTATTGAAATACCTACTTTGACTCGAACGGAAAGAACAAAATTAACGATTTGCACTTTGAAACGTATTTATTCCTAAAGAACTCGATCACCCTTTTGAGAAAGCAGTGATTACTGTTGGTTAGAAATGAACTGAACCTAGAACCACCACCAACTATAACATAAATTAGTGAATCAGAACCAGTTCAGTTCACCCATGGGAAAAAAGCAAAAACACAGCACTTTGCTTTTTTCGTGGCTAGATTAGATGCTGCATGTCTCCTGAACTTGAAGAGACAAAAATCTAAGCACAATCTATAACGATGGATCGATCGATGGTCCACATATATATAAAGGGTGCATGATATGATTTCTTCTCATTCAATTTTCTGTGGGCCAAATGACAATTCACCAACAAGACCAAGAAAAAACTAGAATAATATTCTTTCTTGTTTCCCCCTCCATCAAATCAATGGTTTTGATGCCTTATAAGTAGCAAAAAAAAGCTTGTTGCTTTTCCCCCACAGCTTCCAGATTTGTAAAGAAGATGAACAAGACATACAATACTTTGATCTGTCACAGCGACAACCTGAGCTCCAAGTCGAGTTCTTGACTGTCACTTGATTCAGAGTTCTGGCTGCTCGACCCGATTGAATCACTCCTGTGCTTCTTGCTCCTTGACGTTGTCTGCAAAAGGATTTCACATCATAATATTAGCTTCTTCTATCTAGTACTGCAAATTTCATAATGTTCTTCGAATGCATGCTAGCTAGCTAGCTTCTAATAACTTATATTTAGGGTTAGCTAGTCGAATTTGGTTGGACAGCTGGGTTGGCTAAGGCTAACAATGTGTACATTAGTCTGGAAAAAAAATACTTGTTACTTTTCTATCTGGATCGCGAATGCACTACCTATCTTTCATTCAAAACCGATCGAGCAAGCATCGTATTAACGCGATACTTTGTAACGAAAAAACTATAAATGAAACCACGAGTGCGTACGCACCTCGTGTAGATTGAAAAGGTGTCTCGCTGCGCCTGTCTGCAAGGAATGCTGATGATGAGACTCGTAGCTGCCCAGATTCCAACTGAGGAAAGAACAAATACATATGGTTATTTGAGATGGATGGAAGTGTTTTACAGTTGAAAATTAAATAGCTTAGAACCAAAAATCAAGAGAAAGAGATCAACTAATTAAGTAACGTTGCATATATGTACCTTGGAACCGTGGAAGGTTGTGAATCACCGCCATATCCGATATTGTTCGTCCTCTCATACTCTCCAACTCCCATCTGCAAAAATTATTAACAGCTCAGGAAAAAAAGGAAGAGAAGCTTCTATTTAAGAGCGAGAAAAGTATTGTAATAAACTACTCAAGGATTAATTCAGTAATAAAATTAAAAAAACAAAGGAGGAGTTGCAGCATATATATATATCAAATTTGGAAGATTCTTAAGTTCTGCACAAGGTCACAAACCACCAAATGACTTGCTCCCCAGCAGCGAAGTCAAGATTTAGATTGAGAAGGAAATGAAAATAAGAATAATCTTCCCACAATTGAACCTAAATTGTGAAGAAGAGAAACTGATATATAGGTCCTATCATAGCTAGCTAGCTACCACTTTGTAATATTTTCTTCAATTCACCGTAAATCAAAACTTGAACTACACACGTAGCTAGCTCGATCGGCCACTATATATCATAATTAAGCTTGCTTAGTAATTAAGTAGCATAAATGAATCTAATTCAGTAATTACCATGATGTTGGGGTTGTAGCCATAAGAAGGCAGAGAGGAGGAGGAAGAATATGAGAAGGAAGAAGATGGTATCGATGAGGCATAACCGGTATGCCCTCCTCTAATATCCTCCTGCAAAACAACCAATCAATATTCAGCAAGGCTCCATAGCCATGGCGGATTTGGGCAAACAAGAATATGTTATGTAGGTGTTGATCGATATGTACCTGCAGGTGGTATGGAGTATGGAAAGAAGGGTGATGATGAAAGTTGGTGTTGGTGTTGTTGTTATTGGTGCAGCCCAGTTGACCAGTTAACCTGATCTTCTCCAACTGAGCAACACCAAGCCCTCTTTGTGGCTGCTTAGGCTGCTTATTCTCTGATGATGATGAACTGTTCTTCTTCCCCTTTCTTGAAGACGACCCACTACTTCCTCCCCTTTCATGCTGATGATGATGATGATGGTGATCATTCCCCATGTTTGGCTCTCCAAAGTAACCACTGCCCATTTCTCCAAACTTCTTCTTCTTCTGTTTCTTGCCTTCAACTTTGACTGAACTTCTCTCTATACACTGCCTTGAATCAAGCTTCCTTCTCTCTTTACTCAAAAAATCCTACAAGGGTTTACTCTGGTGATATGGAAAGCAGCTAGCTTTAAGGGAGGGAGGATTGTTGATGATCAGGGAAAATCTGCGGATCTTTCTTTCTTTCTTTCTTTTTCTCACCCAAAGAGAACAACCACTCCCTCCTTTTAAGCTGTTCTTGCTTCCTCTACTTCTCTCTCTCTCTCTCTCTCTCTCTCTCTTGCTAAGATGGTAATTATTGCATCGCTGGATCAGATTGTGCAGAGATTCATTAGATATATACACCATCTGTATTTTTTATATTTTCCTAGATTTTTATCCCTCCTTCCTCCCCTTCTTCCCTTTATATCTACATTTCTATTCTGTATTTCCTTTTTTCCTTCTTAATGATGAGGTCAGATCCTAGCTCGTTGAGATTAAGGCAATTTTTTTTAAAATAATTATTATGTTAAATTCTGATGATAAACATTCACTACATTCTAGGTTTTTTACCTTGAGACCAATGGTGAACGAAAAAAAAAAAAAATCCAAATCATCATGATTGGTAGCGAAATCAAGCTATAGTTGAAGAAGCTGATTATAAAATATAAATGATGTTTTTTCACTATAGTGAAAATGAGATTAGAATGCAATGATGGATTTCTATTTAACATAGACATCTTTATCTTTACCTGCTCTCTTACAATGGAGTATGTCACCACCGTTGTATAGATCAACAACCATAGAAAAAAATGGTATTCTTTACAACAATGAAAATCAAATTTGAACATAACGGTGTATTCCTATATAAGATAGACATTTTTATTATCTGGCCGCGTTGACAAAGACGAATATTTCTTCGTTGCATAGATGTTCTTCACAATGGTAATAACTAAAATTCTAATGGTGAAGTAGATAAACATTGCAATGTGAAAGAGAATAGTTTATTGGTTCCAATAAAAACAGATTGAATTGTTTATAAATTGATGCAAATTATTGTCTCCCTTTCTCTCCCTAGCTTCGTATATGTAGAAGACTAATTCAGTAATTTAGTTGTGTGTGTGGACTATGACTTGAAAGCGATTGTCTTTGATTTCTTGCGTTATAATATTCCCCTTTTTTGGTAAAGTTTTCCCCTTTTCTTCTTTTTCGTATCTCGCAAGTTAATTGTTTATTCTCTCCCAATTGCTTTTTTCGAGGGTTTTAGGGTGGTGCTCTTTGTTAATTGTTAATACACGTAGGCGGCGAGATGCATGCATGTTTACCTTTTGAGTATGCCTACTATGACATGCATGTCACCGTGACATGGACTTTTCGGTCGACCTAATCCTGAAGGCGGTCGACCGAATTGACTAATTTGGACAGCACGAAAAAGCATTGCGGTCGACCTCAAAGACCACCCGGTCGACCGTTCTTAGTTTAAGTTGTTATTTTTGGTTGACCAGAATAAACCTCGGTCGGCCATTTCATTTGCGTCAGAAAACAACATGGTCGACCGTAAAGGTATATAGGTCGACTACTTGATGGCAGTCATTAACAATATGGTCGACCAGATAAAGAAAGAGGTCGACCAGATAGACGATAAGTGTTCTATCAATTTATCCAATCATTTGACGTAAAATGAAGATCAAGTGTTGGTGTCGAGGTCGATCTAATCCGGTACGAGGTCGACCGAATACAAGAAAGTCAACCTATGCCCCGTGTCTTTTTGCTTATGTATGTCGATTTGTGTGGTTCTTTTGCTCGTCTAAATTACGCTTTAAACCATCATAACTAGTCATAAATAATGATAACAAGGACTCATCAATTATGCTATGAATTGAGGTCGATCGCCTTTAGGATTAGGTCGACCGCAATGCTTTCTCATGCTGCCCAAATTAGTCAATTCGGTCGACCGCCTTTAGGATTAGGTCGACCGAAAAGTCCATGTCATGGTGACATGCATGTCACCATAGCAAAATCCTTACCTTTTTCCTTCACAAAAATGAAAAATCAAAAGAACAAGCAGTAAAAATCGTATCTTACAAAAGTTAAAAACTTTATAGTATATATATAAACTGTTTAATTTGACCCCATTGGCCAGCAAACATGTTTAGATCTTGCAACAAAATGGGAAGTCTTAACTAATAAAGCAATACAGCGGTTTTACTTCATATAATATCAATCTGTTAACGTTTTAGAAACCGCACTATATTGTTTGGTCAAGTTGGAAATACTGTGTATCGAAATACAATTTTAGTACAAAATATTCTATCACTGGTTTTTTTTTTATAACCTTCAGTGCAATTTTACAATGTTGGTTTATGTTACTTTTGGAAAGGAGACAAACTACTAGCTAGGTTATATCAATTCAATATCCAAGGTCATGACATAGATTGATTAGGGTAACTACGTCCTCACGTAATTTAACGATTGTGGATCGTGGAAACCATCTAACAATCGTGGAGTCGTGAAAAGCGTGATCCGATATGACAGTGTTAGTACTATAGCATGGTTAGGGTAATGCAATTAGGTTATTTTGATGCATATAACTACTTAACTGATTTGCATAAGATTTTTTTTAATATAAAATATGCATAAGATTTTGGTTCTCACTAAAATGGATAATTCTTGGAATTTAAACCGATTATCTTCACCAAATTGTTGGCAGAGAGAATGTCGAGCCTGATTATATTAAGTCATAAATTTTGCTTGATTGATAAGACATTTATAATACTGGATTTCTATGATATAAAGGTAGTAGATTTTATTGAACAAGGTATAGTAATAGTAGTATCTATGAGATCATGAACAAATATATATTAGATCTGGACAAGATATTGGTTATCTTTTATGAATGACATAGTAAAATCTGACGTTTTTGTGTTTGTTACATGCTTACCTCAATAATACTGAAAAAGTACTTTTTGAAAATTCATGTTATTATTATTATTACTATTATTTACTTACGTTTAAAGAGCCATCAATAATTTTTCTCCTAGCATAACCAAATTAACAAAATTATTATATGTACACAAAAAAATAACCCTTGTACAACATTGATAGAATACAATGGTGGGAAGACCATCATGCCTTAGTGAACAGTTGACCATCATCAACACATTTGAGAGAATAAACGTCACCCCATGTCAGTCGAACAATTTTTTACAAGGGTGATATAGATTTTATTTTTTGTGGTTTAGGTGCTACTTAAGGAATTCAAACATGAGGCCTCTAAATTCAAGACTAGTATTATTATCATTTACCACTTGACCAAACTCTTGTTCGACAGTCGAACAATTTCTCAAAGTAATTACTTCTTCTGGATATAAATATAAGATGAATGTGACAAAGAGGTCATGTGAATCGTATGTAGTGACTGTTATTCTAATAAATCAACATGCAGTTAATAATGTTATACACACGTTTTGTAGAAAAAATCAAGTATCGAAAAAACCGGAGGTTGTACCAGAAAAGTCAACGGTAATGATATTTTTTATGTTAAAATTGTAGTTTAATCGTGGTTCAACCGCTTTATACCGTTAAATACCTGCTACTAGTTTCACTTATGATAGGGGTTTTTTAGTCGAACCTTTTCAATCCTTAGAAAAAGCACCATAGGAAACAAAATAGTGTTATTGTTTTACTACTTTGGTAACCATATTTGTTAGGTAAAAGTTAACAAAGCAAGTTTGACTTGTGGTCCAAACTTAACTCATTATCTTGCTAATAATTTACATGCTCAAATTGAACAAGTAACAGATCTATCCCCAGCTGTCAAAACGCGATAAGGAAACAATAGTTAAAGTAAGAGGTGAAAATAAAACCTGAATTAATCAGTAATCACCATAGTAATAATGGGAAAAAGACACGTTAATTAATAAAATAATAATCAATAACATCACGAGACGGCAAATCCAGTGTTAAGAAGAGAATCTATAGGTGTGAAGAAATCTTGTCTTGCTTGCTTCGTGGGGAAAATATTCTTGGGAGAGGCATGTTCGAAACAAATAAATTCTCTGGAGATACACCATTGTTTTGGTTATGTATTTCGTACTCGATAAATATTTAGGGTTTCACACGCGATAGCAATATATCTTGGAGGAAATATACCATAATCAGCAAAACTTCATTAAATATTCGTTTAGTATTTATATACATATGAAATACGTTTATAACTCATGTTCTCGTATTATTATCGAGTCGTGTCAGTTTTCTCTCATTTGTTTAATGCTTTATATACTGAATATGTAACTCGAATTGTTTTCCGGCGAGCAAATTTGGTTTGAACACTATTGACTTCTTACCAAACGATAACTTAACAAGATTCACACTTGTTCAGTCTTTGTTCCCTCCACTTAATAGCTCCTTCTTGTCGGTTGAGATATGAAAATCCCCTGTCACATGTGAATGGCTGCTCGGATCATCATTTAATTTGTTGTGAAAATGTCACTTATGATCGTGGAAGCGGGAAGCTAGGGTGATCCCTAACCTCTTGACCTCCTCCACCCTCGTCAACCTAGCAAGGGGGTATGCCAATCACATCAAGGTGGTAATTCAACACTTGACCAAATTAAAAGATCTGAGTAAGCTACTTGGATAATTGTTGCATTGCATGAGGGTGTCTCCTCCATACTTAGCCAACCTTTACCACACCTCATTGCACTAGGCCGGGTATATTTTAATTTCACTAAGAGATCGTCATATATAGCAGAGAGTATGTTGATGACCTCTCTCATCAACGTAACTGAGGGTGGCTCTTTCATACTTAATCAATTTCTACCACACCAAAAAGTTGGTGAGACATTAACCTCTTTTGTTTGCCTATCACGGTTTAGTCCGCACATAGTTATGGTTCTTAAATGTTTAACATGCTTGGTCACATTACTAGTATGACAGCCTTATGATAAAAACAAAAAACACCAGTGAATCAAAATCTCGAAAGTGTTTTCAACAGAATTATTGGG